GCATAGTGCTATTATTTTGACAAAAGAAAACAAAGAGCTGAAGACTGTAAATGCAAAGTAAAAGAGAAAGCAAGAAAGATGTCATATATATGTAAGCCAGGGAGAGGGCTTAACTGTTCAAGAAGGAGTGGATCACATACAAAGAGGTATTGCAAAGAAAAGAGAGGTAATAGAGCAGTCTGATAAGCAATCACAAAAGTGAGCAGCACCACAGTATAGTGGATATGATGTTATAGAACATACTATTCATACATGCTCCCAGCATATAGGGAATAATTTATAATGTAATTAGCTGGTTTTACTATTTAGTTGTGGTGATATTCAATTAGAAAAATATTGAATGGTGGAGATCTGTCTCAGTAGATGATCTGTCTTGCTAGATGATTGATTATGTTAATGTAACTCTGTCTTATATAATTTCTCTTCTCTTTTTTTCTTTTCTAATAATATTTTCTTATTTGTTTATATATGTTAGTTATTGGCTTTTTTCTGTAACTAGCTCATTGTAATTATCAATTTTCATTTATTTTATAGTAATGTTAGGGTGCGAATGCGAACTGCATAGGAAGGAAACTCTCTGTGTTGCTAACTGCTATATAACAAAATACTAAGCTTGATGGGATGAAAGGCGGTGCTGGGGCCTGCCTGGATTATAACCACCTGCATGGTCACTTGGTCACGTGATGTGGATTAGGCCTAATCGGGCGCCGAGCCTCGGTCGGGCGCTGAGCCTAACAAGTAATACTTTGATGAGAGAGTATATCAGATGTGAAACATCTTCATGCAGCTGATTGAGAAAATATTCAACAAAAATTATATCAAAGCTCTCTCTTCCACTTTTATTTTTTATTTTTGTGAATTTCACAACTAGTTGCTCTAAATCATGTTATCAAATTAAGCTTTAAATGTATTATATGTAAATTAGCAGTAGAACACAAATAAGAATATGAGAGTAAGAAAAGAGATGGTTTGTAATTGTAAATAGCTCTGCAGAGAATGACAGAAAAGAGAGAATAATTAAAGATTACTCAATTACTAGTAATTCTATTCTGCATATTTGATAGAAAAATTATCAACTGAGTATTAGCTCATTAAAATTACAACTACATTACTTTGAGTTATTGAAGTAAGTTTTACTATTATTTTAAAAGACAAATATTTCATATATTGTGCTCAATTCAAATACTGAGAAAGAATTTTAGAGAAGTCTCTGATGACTGATTGGTTAAGGCAGTCACTATATGGCCACTTCGCGTGGAAAACTATTAGTCGTGGGTTCAAATCTTACACAGTATTTTATATTTTATGAGACATTTTAAAATCGACTACGTCATTCGACCCACATCCGATCTTGATCAGTATATGGACAACTAGCCAGAGGCCTTTTCCACATAAATTGCTAACATTTTCCTAGGCTTGGAATTAATCACTCATAAGAACCTTCTTATAGAGTTTAAGATATAGACTTTGTGTTTCATAAATAAGCTTTCAACACTAGGTTACTTTTATATAATCAATTCATGTAGTTAGCTTTGAACTCAGCTTTACAACATGAACAACAACTTGTCATAGTCCACTCAGAATAGATGCAAGGATGAATAATAATCATAGTCATGTGGTTGAATAACACGCTATATGATGCAGACCATAATGCAGACCATAAATGATGCGATCTTCGCAAAGTTGAAAATCAATAATAAGAGCATTTTATTGATGATTATGAAGAGGGAATTCTTAAACACTCATAACCATCAGATTCATCATGAACTTGTTGAGAAGGGTGGGATAGAGCTACTGCACATCGACTTCATGATAAATAATCAGGGAGATTCATGAAGCCTGCATTCCACTGATTTCAATGGAGAAGATAGAACCGACAGAAATTAATTAATTTTTGCAGCCCAGGATGAGCGTAATGGAAAATACAGAAAGGGACAGTATATTTTGTTGTTTGAGATATCAAGCAACTGCAAGGCGCAGTTGCAGTGGCACGGCTAGGTGTTGCGCCACACCATGTGGAGCGTGAGCGGATACCACGTTGATTATCATCACGTGTTACCCCACATTCCGCTAGAGTTTAGATCGTTGGCTACTTGGTTCAACAACATGCAACAAACGTTAACTATCTTTCCATGACAAATCAGTATCTTGCTTTTCTTCCCCACCCGAGCTTGCAGTTGGTAACAGTAATTGAATTTTAGATAGAATTAGGTGATTAGAACCTGGAGAACTGCGAAAACATTACCCCACCAAAGTGTACATTAAGTGTGTGCGAGGAGTTGTGCTTGGGAGGCGCACGCAAGCAAAAAAATTAAAAATAAAAAATAAAAAAAATTAAACATTATACTCCATTTCGTTTGTGCTCCATACGAGATATTAGAACTGAGGCATGTAGATGACTTTTTCAGCCGAAGGTATTTTGACTCTGGAGTTTGTGTGTGCACCAAGAACCACCTGCAAAGAAAACACCAAGCAGTGGGAGAGATGGAAAGGTTTGCTATCTTTCCCCAACTATCCGCTGGCTTCGACACTATATTCACTCCCCATCTCCCCATTTAAAGAGAAATTCTCTGGATAGGACTGGGTATGGGAGAGCTGGCGCTTATCGATTACGAGACTCTTGCGGTTCGGCATGCTTCGAAAAATCACTCTCGTAACTATAATCCAGTCGCGTCATCTGGGAGAAGGTAGGCAGGTACAGTTGAATGGGGTTTTTTGCTTCTAAAAAAAGGTTTAAATCTCAGCCGGAAAAACCTTCGACGTAGCTTATGCTACAAAACCATGACACACCAGATTAAAACTACATTCATGTGCCATAAATCACACATATCTCACACAACATTTCTATATACTCTTAATGAAAAAGTTTCTCGGGTCTTAGCTAGCTCTAACTCTAAACCCCCATTTGGACAAGATGTATTAGTAATATGGGTGTAAGTTATTGTGCCAGAGTATTTACGTTCCAACTTTTTCTTCCTCAGTGTAACCGTGTCAGATGTCTGGGAAGATCCAATGGCTATTGGTGAATTACCCCCCCCCACATGTACACGTGTTTCCATGGATCACCTCTCTTGGCCTCATGTGGAAGTTTGGCTTGGGACGACCTCCACTTTTAACGCTAAATTCTGGGGGTTGACAACCACCAGGGGAAAAAACCTTATATCAACGTTCAACGTTCAACTTCACTACTCCGTGTCCCGTAATCCCAATACCCGAGACCTCCTACGCCTACGCCTACGCCTACGCCTACGCCTACTCCTGCCACTCCCACCTATAACCTTACCCTAACCCCTAACCCCTACCTCCACCCCTACCCCTAACCCTTCTCCGTAACCTTATCCTTACCCCTAACCCCCGCACCTGTGTAGCTGAGCCTGAAACTTTGTGTTGTTATTGTCGTCTTTTTTTTTCCTTTATTAATAAGTTATTACGTCATGTTTTTTTTTATTCTGGTTTTTTTTTTTTTGGGGGGGGGGGGGGGGGGGTTGGT